GCCACTAAATTCAGGTACCTTAAAATTTCAGGCTGGCAAGGTTTGGTTCATGTTATCATCAACTGAGAAAATACCCGCAAAATTCAGATTCAGATCTGGATTTTGTAGTCCATGTTTAAAGTCAGTGGGGCAGGACAGAGCTCTGCCTGCTGGGCTTACTCCATAGCCTCCTGATCAGCTTCCTTAAGCATCCACAGTATATGTAGATAAATATATGTATTTATGCCTGTCTCCCCAGTCCTTTTAGGGGCTGAAATCCTAGGTATTGTGGGTTAAATAAGTCAGTTCCTCTGACAAAGACACACTTGGTTGAATTTTAAACAAGGGGCCTTTAGAAATCTCTAAAATTTTAACCATCAGTGTATAACAGCTTCTAGGACGTTCTCCACCTTGTAACATTTAAAACAATGATTCATCTTCATAAGAAATATGTAACTGACTAAAACTAACTCTCAAAAAATGTTAATTATCTGCATGGTCTGTGTTTCAGCATATGCAATTTCCAGCTACCAACACTGGACATTATGAAAGCTTTTACATGACATCAGCTTTCCAATGAGTAGCCACCTATAAAATACATAGTTTTTAATCTGCATTTGATTGCCACAGCTTAAAAATTCCAGAATTTATGACAGCTACAAATCGGGTTTAGACTGTGCACCATGGAACAAAAGCCAAGATTTTTGGTTCGGCTTGTTGATATTTCCTGAAAACATGAAACAATTCTGAAAGGACAGATTTCCTGGCTCACAGCTAAAGGTCAGCAGTCACACAGGGAGTGCTTGCTAAGTGTACCAAAATGATTGGGAAGGAAAGACTGGCACAACATTGCAGTATTATTAAAAAGTGATTTAAGTGGGGAAAATGGGAGAAAAGAGAGAGACCGACAAGGATTAGACTCTCAACAAGTGAGCTTTCATCAAGAGTAGAAAACCAGCTTTGTTCCTTGCCGCTTGCAGCCCCACGCTGTCACTCTAAGCACCACTTGCTCTTGCTCCCTCTTTCCGCCCCCTCTGCCAGCCGTGCAGCCCCAACCTGTGCTGCCATCCCCGGCTGCATGGGCTCTCAATGTGACTGCTCTGACCAGGCATCTGAAATCACTCCTCCGGCCTTTCCTCCATGGTCAGGGGTTTTTCCAGGCTCATCTCTGTAACAGATTACGGAGGCACAAGTTCCACTGGGAAGGACAGGAGTGAGAAAGTCCCATGACTATGCAACACTGACATACAGTTGTGCAATATGCAAAAACAAAGCCCATTTTCCCAAGGAATCTCCCTCAAACCCGCCCAATGTTTATAACTTGCTCTCAGCACAATTCAAGAACCAAAACACTTTACTGGTCAACTCCTGCAGCCGGCAGAGGGGGCAACAGGCAGCTCTCATTGGTTTCTTGAAACTATCTGCTTGAACAAAGTTCCTTCTCAAAGTATCTCGTTTTATAATATCAGATACCAAAAATTTCCCATCCACTGAGATGATACCAGTTTGAAAACAAGCACATTCTGCAATTAAAATCTCTGAGGCACGTATATTGTTAGTAGCATCTTTAAAACAGTATTTAGTACCAGTCTCAACAGACTCTCCCAGCTCCCTCCAAGACTCCCAATCTTGTTTTCATTGCTATTATTCAAGTTTCTCTTATAAACTATGGGGTATGTACAATTTTCCAGGCAAATAAACTTTGACCAAAACCAACCTAGCAGTCTCCAGCAGGTCCCTGCCACAGGCTGAGCACCCCCCTATTGCACCCGCCTCCCTGCCTGACAAAGAGCCCTGGAACAGCAGAATTGACAGAATTTGTGCGTATGCTCCTGCTAATGAAATACCACTACTCTGACCTCAATGTCCTCCCTAACACTGACTTATCAAAAGCATATGCTCCCATCACTCATGGTCGGTGCTTTTTTTTTCCCCTCCGTCTTTAAATTAAAACATATTGGTTGTAGAACAAAATACTACCTTTTCAACTAAAAGGTTAACAGCAAGCCAATGACCACATGTATGTGTAGCTCAAATCTGATGCCCCCAAATCCTGCTAACTACAGTAAACTAAAGCAAAACAACAAATGCACTAGTAAGCAGCTAAGCAATACTGTAGGCTGTTAAACTTTAAATTTAGCCCTGGCAGATCCTTGAGGAAGGGCATCCCAGAACACGTGTCCTCTGCTATGCAGAGAGCGCCCTCAAACCATAGGATCCTATTCCACATATATAACTTTTGAATATATGGCCATACCTATCGTATGTCATCTGTATTTCACATGTATATTTTCTCTAAAAATACTGTGTATGAGATAAAGGACACCCTGCTCTTGGCCACAACGTGTTTGCCCCAGCAGCAGCCAGTGAGACTGAAACAACACATTATAATTCCTTGCAACGGGACAAAGCCGTAGATCAGAGTAGAGGGACTCTGACAGTTTAGGGCTTTACAGACCACAACCTGCAAGGATGAATTATTCTCCAAAGCAAGATTTTGAATGCTAGCATGGAGAATATTTTTTCAGAGGAGATCGCTATAGCCGTGCTATTTTCTAGCTGGAGCTTCAGGGCAATTTGCAAGTAGAGACTATTGCCATGATCAGCGGTGAGATTACAGAAGCACGATTTGCTGTGATGAATCTAAAAAAGACAGCTCCAGGCCTAAAGTTCAATGTGCCACACCTGCTAGCAGAAAGCATACGAATAATCTGACCTCCAGGCTGCAAATATTACGAGAAAGGGTTGGACATCCCCATCCAGTGGAGCTTCCCCCACTATGTTCTCCTAATGCCAAACGAAATTGCTAACATGAAGACAAACTGTGCATTGATAGCTCTGCAACCCCAAAACTTCCACTCTAAGCTGCTGCTAAGGAAATTCAGCAAAACCAGGCACCTGGTGCCAAGAAGACTAGAACTCATCAATCTGACATGAAAAAACTCTTTTATTGAACAGCTCTAAATAGCACTACCTTCAAAAAGTCTTGTTAACTGTGAGATTAATAACATTAACTGGAAGATAGAGTGGTTTCTATGGCATTGTTTCAGGAGCTGAGGTGATTCCATTGCCCCATCACCATAACTCCCTCAGTTCTAAACCATCTATGCAGTAGCTGAAGAAAAAAATAATACTGCTTATAGATAAAGTCATGCTTGAAATTCATCACAATATATTTTGGGTTTTTTTAAAATCATGTCCCGCATAAATTATAAACTCTGTATTGATTGCAAGGGTAGTTAAGCAAACTAAAAAGGTATAATGGGAGCAGGAGATATCTTCTTGGCCCTGTGGGCTCAAGTGAGGTTATTCCCACTGCAGAACACCAATGATCTGTGCATTATGGTCTGTTAAAGTAATACTTGGCTTATTGAACACTTACTTCGTTTGATGCTTAAAAGAAACTCGGGTGTGCACCACAGAAATAAAGCTCTATTTTCGTAAAATGCTGGGGAACAAAACAAAACAAAAGGAAAGCCCTTACAGCTCAGCTCTAATTGGCATTTCAACACAAGCATCCCCCTTCCACATGCTTGGTTTTGCTTACTATTATTCTCACTGCAGTTACTATTAATCCACCAAAACATCACACTCATACTAAACCATTTCTTCACTAGGTAATTCCCGCTTGTCAATATAACCCTTAAAGATTCCATCAAATTTTGCATTCTCTTACATGACAGATGTAGAAACACGTTCTTGTGAGTGTCTGTGGCAAAAATAAAGAGCAGATATACCAGCCAGTACTGCAATAGGCAGTGGAAGGAGAGGATGCCAAGGCTGGTGAATGTTCTGCATTAACCCCTGCAAAGGGCTGGATTTCAGAGGTCAGTGAGTGTGCTCAGCGGCAGCTACGCTAGGTCCCATTCAGACATCAGTCTGAGGAACCAGCATTGTAAGGCTCTTTGAAAATCCTGGTTATCGCTTTTTAAGGCAGGTGAAAATCAATTAATTTTGAGCTTTTAAAGGAATGCCTTCGCTGTGGTCAACCCTGGCCACACAGTCAGAATGCATTTTGCAGAGATGCACTGCCTTTTCTTTCTATTTAGTGTAAAAGCACTTAATCTTGGTTATCAGCTCCCTGAAGGTCAAGCTTATTTCTTTAGATCTATTATTTACTGCTTGAAATGTCCAACTCCACCTTTCTGGCTATTATAGCTTCTTTCCCCAACTCCTTTTCACGGTAACTCCATATGATGACCGTTGATAAAGTTAGGAGGACCGTGATTCTAAATGTCTGACCTTCTTACAAAATCTGATAATGGATACAGTTTCTGAATCATAGGTCATCTCAATTTTGCCAATAAACCATTTATTTCCAGTGGCCTTCAGACCTTGAGGCTTACTGTGCACTGCAAAATGGATTCTTCAGGAACAATAAAAGAGAGCCATCCTTAGCCTTTGCATAGTGTGTTAGGAGGGATACTGCACTTTGGAGATTATGTTTGTCCACAACACCTTGCGCACCACAGTTTCCAAGACCTTCACTGCTGTACAACATTTTCTGATGTTTATATGATGCTGAAAGTTATAAGTCCCTAATGTGAACTGACCTTCTTTTCATTTGCAATCTATATAGAAAGGACAAAAAAAAAAATCCATGCCTCCTTAAACCCTCCCCACCTACCGAGAGCTATCCAGTCACCTTTACCATATTCTTCAACTTACAGTTCAAGGCACAGTGCCAAGTTTTACATCACTACCTCAAATGTTATGCTGCTGTGGTAAAAGACGATTATGCCATGCTTGTAAAAGCTGTGTCAGTGCCAAAGTACACAGTTTGTTGGTATGAGTGCCTGCCTGCCTCCTTCAATGGCTTCACTGAAATGGAGTTCTCAAAATTACTTGGTCTTGCAAAAACACTGCCAGAGGTACAATTCCTACTGAAGGAATTTCATGCAAACTATTGAGCACGATACAGAGGAAGGTGTGTTGAACACGAATCCCTGGCTTGAACAGTGCTGGAAAGTTAAGCAGTGACTGGATCCTGAGCACGGGGGAACCGAGCAGGTTTTACTTACTGTCAAAGCTTCTGTGCTGTGCTGTTAGGGTTGTCTGCACAGAGCGACCGGCCTCTTTCATCATGGCTTCAAATTCACTTCGGCTTTTGTTTGCAAAGTTCTCCTCCATCTCACTGGTGCAGCAGGTATAGCCTTGTGGGCAGATTCGCAGGTGCTCCCCTAAAACGAAAGAAAATGTAGTTGAACGGCCAGGTTTGGAAACGGAAGGATCTCACCCCAGACAAACTCAGCATAAAAATATTCCAGCTCCCCAGTAACCTGGATCTGCATCAGGATTTACATGTTTACCCCCTAATTTGAGTTATCCTGCATTAGCACAGTGATTCATGTGAACGCAGGTACAAATTCCCTCACACTGTGAGGGAAAGAAAAGTGAAGGAGATAAAATTCATACATGGGGCAAGGAGAAGGGAAATACAAGTGTCTCCTGCTCAAGGTCTGACCCAGAATCCAGCTCTGCCTGGAATCCCAGACAACACAGAAATCTCTGATTAAGTGACATATTAGTTGTCCTCATTAGACTTAAAGTGTATATTAGAACAACTGTTTGAAACTACTTTGTCAAGGAAAAAAACCCAACTCCAACGTGTCTCCCCTCCCCCCAAGACAACCCCTCCAAAAAACCTATCCTGAAAGGCATTTCCATAACCAGAGAGGTGAGACTAGAGACAAGTTTTCAAAAGACAGAGACATGCTGAATGCCAGTGGAATTTGGGTGACTAATCCCCTTCCACACATTTTGAAATCTGCCCATTTACTATTTTTTCAGGGAAAAATTTATCTCCCAGAAAGAGACAAGACCACCCAAAAAAGGGTTGCTATGACAATCACTGATTGAATATACCCTTTGCTATAGGGAAGGACAGGAAAGGTAAGAGGACTCGGCAGTCAAATTGAAAAATTCTTCAGTATGGGAGCTCTTCCTGCCCTCTGCAATCTCTTTATTGTGGGAGGAGCAAGTGTTTGCACAGCAGCGTCAGCAACATTTTAAAAATAATTGCTTAAGTTTTTATGAGTCCTTACAAACAAAGACACATCTACCTGCAAACACACCCTACGTTTCCCCTTACCCAGCAATAAGAATTCATTTGAATGAAATAAAACATTAGGGTTGGTTTTTTTTTTAAAGAATAAAAAACCCCCTTGTTCCAAGCATGCACTGAGATAAACCAATTACAAAGCAGTTACCATGCTTAACATAATTTGATTGGGATTGCCAATGATTTTGCTGGCAGCTTTACAGGACTGCTGTCTTAACATCACAGGTAAGCTGAAACATATACGTAAAATAATTTTTTATCTTATGTGTCTCAACAGCTTCAAATCCTGAACCTGCACAGTCCTCCAGAGTTTCCCATAAATGTCCTTAGCTATTTCCAGCATAGAGCCCTAAGCAAATAGGTGCCTTAGGGTAAAGGGTCTTTGAAACTGGGCGCGTGTCCTACCCTTGTGAATGCCATGTCATTAGTAGCCTGACTAAGAGCAATTCTGACAGGAGTGCTCTGTAGTTGATGTATTTTAGGCAGAAGCCATTCAGGATGAGTTTGGATTTTGCTGGCCCTTGGGTCCCTGCTCACAGATGGCTCTGGAGCAACCTCTTCAGGGCAATGGGGTGAGTTTGCCCTTAGAAAACAGGTTATCGCATGCACTTGCACCAACAGAGCAGCCTTCCTGCCTATGCGACAGGAATTGCTGCTCACCAGCTTTCGTAGGAGAGTAACTCCCATCATCAGGCTTCTGTCATGCTCCTGGCTGAGAGGAGTGTCAGGGAGGGTGGCATGCCCCGTGGGCTCCCGTCTCCCATGGGATCCCCCTCCCAGTCCCCATGAGTACCCAAGCACCACACCATTGAAACAACAGGAAAAACAGCAACTTACTTCAATATAAAAACTAAGAGTAAAATATAAACATCATGTGGCTCAAAGCTTGCCATATGAAATTCAATTTTAGTTACAGTGCTTGCCTAAGCCTTTCCTTCCTTCATAAACTAGATTGTTGCAGTTTGTTCCCTGAGCTCATTTCTGTAAAGCTGCATTTGTACAAGGAAGTCATCGTGAGGACTGCTGACATGTGACAGACAGGCAGAAAAAGGGAGCCATAATTTTTTGGCAAGACACAGCTTTATTTCCTGTCACGGCAAATTAAAAACTTTCTTCTTGTCCAGCTTCTTTGGTCTGATTTCTGCTGCCACAGGATGTCTGACAAGGACTGAAGCTTTGCTGAGGGTTGTTTTACTGTGGTATGCATCCTTCCATGCGGCCATTGGTGCCTTCAGGACAAAGTGAGGCCTTTTCAGTGCCCAGCCTCTCTGCAAGGCCTATAAACAAGGAAATGGATCCCAATGGTTGCCCAAGACTCCCTTTACCACCACTGGCTCAGTCGCTGATAAATTTTGCAGATGACATCCTGGTCCTGCAAGCCCTTTCACTCGAGAGCACCCAAAAGCACGAGCACTCCCGCCACTTCTCTGTGCACCCCATTACCCACCAGGGCTTGCAGGTTCAGCCTAAGCCACAAACAACCCTTTACAAATCCCCTGTTTTGGTAAACCAAGATAAAGCAGTGGGAATGGCTTTCGATAAAGCTTGGGGAACTCCCACCTCCTGGCCTGCTGCCAATAAGTAGAGCCTGGCTGCACAGTGGTCTCCTACCCCCTCAGGCGGGAGACCTGCCTGAAAGGAGGGAGAGCAAACATGGCCACCCCAGCAAGGAGACGCCTACGTGTTCATCAAAGCTGCCGGTCAGGCGGTTCCCCTCACACGGTTTAGAAACAAAAGAAAGGGGGAAAGTGTGGGGATTGCCTCTGGGGAAGAACAGGGCCTGCCCCCAGGAGGAAGAGGGACAGGGAGGAAGAGCCTCATGCTGCGCCCGAGCTCCCTGACGAACAATGAGGAGCTGCAGAAGCGTGAGGCGGGATAATTAAAACGTGACATGCCCAGGCAAAAACCTCCACGCTCCCACCCCAGGCAAAGAAGAGAGCGTGTTTAAGCAGGATGGCATCAGTCCAACACCTTGCTGTGCTAGCAGAGCTTCAAATAACCTCCAGCCAGCTGGCACCACTGGAGAGAGGAAGAAAAAGACAGAGGAAAAAAAGACAGAAAGCAAGGGAAAAGTCACACCTGTAGCTAAAATTGCTTAATTTTACACAACTTTGTGAATTGAATATAGAATTTTTTTAATGCTTGAACTCACAGCAGTTTCAATCCCTCTTGAAGCAACATTTATCTTAGCTTTCTGCAGGCATTTGTACGGTACTCAGCACCACAGCACTTTATCTCAGTGGGAAGCAAAGTTTTTATCATTTGTCTTTGTAACTCAAACTCAGTGCACACAAAACAGTCTGACAGCACTATAAAAATGCTTTGCTTTCTTTGCTTTTTAACCTGACCCACCCTGGAAACATTCACTATTATTATTTAACCTTTTTTTATTGACTCCAAAACAAACGCACTCCAGACTGTATTTTTGCTCTCTTTGTATTTCAAAGTTCATCTGTTTGCTAACTTGCCATTATGTCATTGCTGAAGCTGCACTATAAATATCTCCGGGTTCACTTGGCAGATTATCTGCAGATATCTATGGAGAGCTAGAGGTGTTTTACGAGGAGTAAATCTGCAAGACACAGTGTGTGTTCTCTCCACTGCTGCGTCAGAGAAATTTCCCCCTGTATACAGCTGACATGTTGCTAACTGCTTGCTCAAGAGCGCATGCTCCCGGCCCCTGGAAGAGCTTTACAGAAAGCAAGTGAGCACAGTAGAAGCCAAACCAGCAGCAAGCAGAGGGCTGCTCCAAATCTCCTTGAAGAGAAGAGATACGCTCCCAGTGACTCGGACCAACTCTGGGTCAGGCCCAAAGAGAATTACACGATCCCATATGAGTCTGTTACTGAAACGCAGCCATCTCTCCCCAGCCCTAGACTTGCAACCCCCCAGCTTGAGCAAGTCTGGCAGGGGAGCACAGAGGCGCTCAAGGTGCGTTTGATGGCTCAGCTAATACCAGCTCTGCGCTGCCCTAAGCACTCTGGATTTAAGACACGTTTGTAAGCAAGAGAAGATGTGCTTTGGGATGTTCAGCTTCCCTTCAGAAAACCAGCAGCTTGCCCAAGCTTTTGGCAGCCAAGATGTGTGGTTCAATCTGGGTCTCCCTGGAAGAACCAGCTCTCCTGCAAAGGCTGCTGAAGTTGGAGTGGGATATAACCCACTGACTTCACGGTCTCTTGGAAACGGAGACAGGGAAGACCATGCATGAAAACAGCATCGAGCAAATATCTCATTTATGATTAACTGCCCTGGAGTGGAAAGGAATAGGCAGGAGGCTGATGACAAGAAAATATCACACTGCCTGGCTAGGGGCTTGTATCGTCCTTCAAATACCCTCTCAGCTGGCTGGGTTAGCAGATCATTTTGGCTATCAAATTCATTACTGTGTTTGAGAGTGCTGAATATTAAATCACTTGACCACTTTCCCTTCAGGGACGGAGCTGGGCTGCTTTGTGGCAGGGTCCTCACAGGGGGAATAGCCCTGCCCACACCCACCACAGACATGAGCTGAGATGGGGCTCAGCTCCCCGCCTCTTCCCCCGTGCGCTCCCGGCCTCAGGGCAGCAGGATCTCCGCTCACTGAGTTCAGAAAAGCTCTCTCGATGTTCACTGCTGCTGCGTTTCACCCCACCACGAGGCTCCATAGCCACAAAAACAAGAGAGAAGGGCAGTCCCAGGGGTGTAAAATGCGATACTGAGAGAAGAGTCCTTGGCTCCTTTAACCATGTAAATAGTGCTATTTCTATCCCTCTCACAGGATGTTGGAGATTGAATTCATTACAACGTTTGCAGAAGGTTTGGGGTTATTTGGATGTGTCAGAGTATCTAAATGCAAATTATTACAAAATCATTCCTCCCAGAGGTTAATTCATTTCAGGCTGTGATAAATCTGTCATGATTCTTCCCTCACATTTGTAACCTTCCTCCCATTTGCTCTCCAAACTGCTCCAAAGACTCATCTCATGCTCCTAGACCAAAACTGACTCCCCCGGCTGCCTCAGTCCAGGCCCCCATGCCAGGACACCTACAACCCAAACCACCTCCTCGGGAGTTTCTGGGTGGATGTGTCTCAGGCAATCAGACTTACCGAAATTCCACACTGCTGAGACCCCCCTGCCAGGCATGGCAGGGATGCCAGGACACAGCCCCCAGCCAGGTATAGCCATTGAGCATAAGAGCACAAGGCAGCCAAGGAGCTCCCATCCTCTCCTACTGTCCCTGGTAGGCACTACCGTCTGCTGGCCTCCCCCTCTTCACACCTAAATCCCATGCAGGCTAATGAGCATCACAGCTGGGAGCTGAGGACAAAACAGTGTAATTCAGACCATGGCTTTTTTTTTTTTTTTTACCATGTCAGAGTGTCTCTGCAGCTGATGCAAAACAAGCCTGGAGGTGGTACAGATGTTGAAAATACCTTGCAAAGAGGTAGTGCAATGAAAGTAAATCCCTTTCCTTATGCCTCCCAGCTTTTCCTGTTTCAGGTGTTCCTGTCCGCATCTCTCTTGAAATATATATCTTTAAAGAGAATATGATTTAGCGCCTGCTGGTAAGTAACTGACAGCACAGCCTCTATACCAGTACCACGATGCTACCTTGAAACCCAGTCTTGTCACAGATAACTCCTAGAGGAAACATGGGTACCCAAAAAACATTCAGACAAGAGGACAGTCAGGGCTGATTGCCCTAGGAAGAGCTCTTCCTGCCCCTTTCATTCTAGATGCACTGAGAAACATCAGCTGGCACGCCGCTTCCAAACACCTACGCCCCATGTTTGCGTAAGGTGTCTGGGCGTGCAGCTGGTCTCTCATAGTAGCTAACATCAAAATGAACTGGCTACCAGACTGCTCTACTAAGGAGAGTGCAAATCAGGAATTTTCCCATATTGCAAAGGCAGGTGTTAGCTAAGCACTGTGCAGCCTGTTTTTTTGATTTGCAGTCAGCTGTCGGCAAAATATGATATCTTCTATTTTCTGATTATGTATTAAGAGTAGCGTCTTTTTTAGCTTCGGTTTGCACATAATGTCAGGGGAGTCATAGCAGGCCACATATTAAGTATTGCATGGTAAACCTTCACACTGATCAAAATGCACTAAGCCCCATTCTCCCCAATCTTAGCGATACCATGGGTTGAGGATATGCATGGTGGGGCAGGGCTATGGGCTGGCCAAGAAATCAGGGGCAGAGTATGGTCTCAGGGCGGTGCTCATGTGATTTTCCTGCACTGTCATACCATGAAGCACTCTCAGCATAAGAAACTGAGGTGGCAGGGTGTAGCTGGGAACCAGCCCCACCATGGACTCACTGGGCATCTTGGGTGAGCCAGACTGGGAGCTAATGCAGCGATGGGGAAAGGAGAGCCAGAGAGAAGCTCTCTGCTTCAACAGCACCCTGCAGGAACCCCTCGCAGACCTTGGCATGTGCTATGTAACAAGACCCGGGTTAACCTCAGCCGTGCCAAGGTCACCACAAAGCAGTGTCACAGCTCACACGCTGAAGACTGCAGGGAAGAGGTGGGTGCCGTCTCACCTGCTGCATCCCCGCTGGCCTCCCCACGCACATCGCTGCTGCCTCCGAGCCTCGGCAAGGTGAGAGGGATTTGGCTGTAGCACAACCAACTCCTATCTCTCTTTGATGCTTCTGAAGGAGTAGCTGGGTATCTCGAGGGACTGATAACAAGGGCATGAAGTCTTTTCAAGCTGTACGCCACAGGTCTGAATTTGTCCCGTGTCAGCAGCTTTTATAATGCCTTACGATCTGATGGCTGATCAAATAGCTTGTGCTGAGATGAACTAATGTTTTTGTTCCAGATAAAGAAAACAAGCACTATGTTCCACATCAGTGATAAAAACCAGCAAACTGGAAAAAAATAGCTAGAGAATAGGCTTATTCTGTTAAAGCAATACACGTGTATGAGACGAGCCAATAGCAAAACATTAAATGCTTGTTCCCACAGCTCGTCATTCAGACCAGGATTATACCAACGGAAGTGAAAAACCAAGAGCAGATAATCCATAAGATTTGCTCTTTCCACTCCTTACCTTTCTACTCCTACCAGGATTTAATAAACTATCAAAACACTGTTAACCAAATAAGACAACTTAATCTGGCTACTGTGTGGAGTTGGCTCCTTACCAGGTTAGCACCACTCTGTAATTGCATTACGGTGAAACCCCAACACAGTGAATAGATACAGGTATTTCTGAGAAACATCACAACTGGCATCCTTGGAGCAGAAAACCACTGACGGGTGAGAGAGCTTTGGGACTGCCCTGTTTCCTACCAACACAGGCCGTTCAAGTCTTGAGACAGGCGGGAGGGTGCGGGGGAGGCTGAACGGGAATTTCCTCCGTATTTGCTCTGTTCATGTGTCGAAATACTTCAGGCTCTGAAGCTGTCAGCTCAGTGTCACACTCACACACTGGAAGAGTGGTATCAATTTGTTTAATCCCAGACCCTGATGTCAGAGGAATTCATACGGCAGGCAAACATGGGTAAAAAAAGTTAATTAACAGAGGAGAAAGAGCCACCTCTGTGTCCTAGAAAAATATTAAGTACTGAGTAGATAAGAGTGCCTTCAGAAATGACAGTCTGAAAATCCTAATGTCATCTGCGTATGTTACAGTGGCAAACTGCCCAAAGGAAGGGAACAGAGAAAATGTCACAAATGCTGACAACAGACTTGATTCTTACTGAAAAGATCTGCACGAAGGCACTTCACCCACGCATTGCTCCTTTGGGTTTTGAGAGTGCCTTTCTGAATGAAACAGAACGCCCCTTCCCATCACTCTGCTCCCCCAGTTTCTCACTCAGGACCTGGATCTGCCCTTAGCTACATGGGCAGTGATCCAAGCCTGTGTTTAAGGACAAAGTAGGAAACACTTTATAATTTGCAGTAGAAAATATCTTTTTCAGTGGTTTGAGAGAGGAATGAAAGAATGAGGGCCAAATCCACACGCACCACAAGCAATGAAGGACCTCTATCTAGCAGAACTGACTGAACACATCAAAACCAAACACTCCTCAGATCCTCTTCTGGGCACTGGACCCACTGCTGGGGAGCTCCTGAGCAGGTCTCTGCTCCAGGAAAGGAGATGATCCACTATGAAAGGCTTCAAAGGGGAGCCAGGACAATTAGCACTCTCCAAATAATTCAATCTTCAAAGAAGCCTTCAGTTCAGACTAGAGCAGTTGCAAGGATCATGGAGAGACGCACAGGGAGCTCACTGTTATACTCTTCCCTCTCCCCTTCTCTGAAGAACAGAAAACTCTCAAAAAGAATCTTAGATGAGGGAAGAATTATCTTGTCTCTTCACATAACACTTGTGGGGACATGTTGAAGTTGTGTGTTGCAATCCATCACTATCAACCTCTTTCAGAGTTGTCCTGAGCACATCAGCTTCTCACCAGATATTTTGGGGTTTCTGGGTTGGGGTTTTTTTCCTTCTTCTTGGAACAAAGACTCTTTTTATCTTCAGTTTTCTGCAATCTAAAATAAGATCAAACTGGAAACCCATCACTCTTATCAGATGCAGTTTCATTGGAGGCTTCATACCAACATAAATATGTTATTGCATAAGAGGCAAAGCAATTCATTAAGCAAAATCTAATTTCTTCTCAGAAAAATGTCTACTAGAGAAACTGTCACCTCTTCCCCGTACCCTGGCAGCTTGCTGCCAGAAGAATCCAACTGGGTGTCCTCTCCAAGTAAGTGGAGGAAAAGAAGATGATCAGGAGTACCCAGCACGGATTCACCAAGGGGAAATCATGCCTAACCAATCTGATAGCGTTCTATGATGGCATGACCAGCTGGGTAGATGAGGGGAGAGCGGTGGATGTTGTCTACCTTGACTTCAGCAAGGCTTTTGACACTGTCTCCCATAACATCCTCATAGGGAAGCTCAGGAAGTGTGGGTTGGATGAGTGGACAGTGAGGTGGATTGGGAACTGGCTGAATGACAGGGCTCAGAGGGTTCTGATCGGCAGGGCAGAGTCTAGTTGGAGGCTGGTGGCTAGTGGAGTTCCCCAGGGCTCAGTACTTGGCCCGGTCTTGTTCAACTTATTCATCAATGACCTGGATGAGGGGACAGAGTGTACCATCAGCAGGTTCGCTGATGACACAAAACTGGGAGGTGTGGCTGATATGCTGGAAGGCTGCGCTGCCATTCAGTGGGACCTGGACACGCTGGAGAGTTGAGTGGAGAGGAACTTGATGAAGTTCAACAAGGGCAAGTGTCAAGTGCTACACCTGGGGAGGTTGAACCCCATGCACCAGTACAGGCTGGGGGCTGACCTGCTGGAAAGCAGCTCTGCCGAGAGGGACCTGGGAGTCCTGGTGGATGACAAGGTGACCATGAGCCAGCAGTGTGCCCTTGTTGCCAAGAAGGCCGATGGTATCCTGGGGTGCATTAAGAGGACTGTGGCCAGCAGGTCGAGGGAGGTTCTCCTCCCCCTCTACTCTGCCCTGGTGAGACCTCACCTGGAGTACTGTGTCCAGTTCTGGGCTCCCTGGTTCAAGAAAGGTGAGGAACTCCTAGAGAGAGTTCAGAGGAGAGCAACAAGGATGATTAGGGGACTGGAGCATCTCTCCTATGAGGAAAGGCTGAGAGAGTTGGGTTGGTTTAGCCTGGAGAAGAGAAGACTGAGAGGGGATCTAATCAACATGTACAAATGTCTTAAGGGTGAATGTCATGAGGACGGAGACAGACTCTTCTCAGTGGTGCCCAGCGACAGGACAAGGGGCAATGGGCACAAACTGAAGCATAAGAGGTTTCAGTTGAATGTGAGGAAAAACTTCTTTACTCTGAGGGTGACAGAGCACTGGAACAAGCTGCCCAGGGGGGTTGTGGAGTCTCCTTCTCTGGAGATATTCAAAGCCCCCCTGGATGATATCCTGTGCAACATGCTCTAGGTGAACCTGCTTTAGCAGGAGGGTTCGACTGGATGATCTCCCGAGGTCCCTTCCAACCCTTGCCATTGTGTGATTCTGTGATTCTATAACTGGAAAAGGAATCTCAGTAGTAAGATGAGGATTAAAGATGCAGTTCCCACTAAGAGGTTTAAGACGTGAAGGCTTTTGGTTTGTTCTCCACTTAAAAAAAGCTTTGGGGCAATAATTCATATAATCCATGACAGGAACTTGAGGAAGGCTTTTCCAGTCCCCCTGCTGAAGCCCTGCAAGGAAAATGGTGACACTGTACTTTGGGCTATTTTGGGATAAAGACACTAAGGATTTTCAGAAAACTTGTAAGACTGTTGCTCAAGAATGGGGAGTGCTCGTGGCCAGTTCCAGCCATTTCAGTGCAAAGAACAAACCTGGATTAACCTCTCATGGAGAAGTTAGCATTTAGAGAACATTTCCTTCTAACCCCAGCAAAGGTGCTCAAGCAGTAGATGCTGGTGTGAAAACCATGAGAATCATCTTTCTGGGTTTCAGACGTGCTCAAAACTGGGCTCCTGCAAGGCACCCTCTACTTCTTATCCCTCTGCCACCCTTGCAGGGTGCTGCAATAAGCAGGACATACCACACCCAAGGAGGAGGTTGGGCAGGATGCACAAGTGGGCTGCCACAGCTGCCCACCTTGATGAGCCATGCTCCTGGCTGCTACCTGTCCCAAGAGAGGACTGCAGGCTGCCTCCTCCTGCTGTGCACAGCTACAGACACTGCTGGTGGCACCGGGGACTGCGGGGGTGGCTCGTGCCCTTCCTGCAGGACGATGCGTGCGTCCAAGAAGGATCTTGCCTTCTATCAACAAAAATTTCCCAAGGGAGAATAAACAAACTAAAAAACCTCAAGCACTCTGTCTGCCAGTAAGAATGAAAACGACTCCCGAATTTGCAAAACCCCTTGTCTTTATATAATTATTAAACAAACCAAGTTCTTGGATCTGAATCTGATTCAGAGCTTGCAGAAACAAAATGTTTAAGCCTAAAAATTTAAGAAATTAGGTTTAATGACACTCATTAATCTTAAATTCCGTAAATGTGTGTACACTTCTCTAAACTAAAAATAAGAAGATGCATGTAACGAATTGTCTGAACCCCACAAATTCAAGATCATCCGCTTTTAGATCTTTGTAAAAATTTAAGAGACTTTACCTATGCAGAGTTGCTGGCTTGTGCCATAAATTAGGAGTGCTCTAAATTCTTTGCTAGTGTGTTGGCAAGGGTGTGGGAAGGTGCAGGATCAGAGGGGCAAGTTCTGGTTGCTGTGGGCTTTTTCACTTTACAACTTGAAGCTTTTGTCAGCCCCAGAAATGCTCGGTTCTTCTTCAGCTATTGCTTTGCTTTATTTGTCTCATGAATGTTTTGG